TATTATTATTATTATTATTATTATTATTATTATTATTATTAGCCAACTGCACATCCCATTAAGGGCAAAGGTCTCCTGCTTGATAAGGGACTTATGAATCCTGAATCCTTCTTTAATAAAGTGACAGGATGATGATGAACGGTGAAGGGATGATCACAAATGCATCCATACCCGAAGCGGGATTCGAAACCACAATCCTGCGATCCGAGATCGCCACGACACTACTGCCTTACCGATCTCGGATACCCGGATTGGCCGTGTCGATCTTTAGGGCACGTTCAGTCGGAGAGCATTCACCGAATACATCAGCTGCTCGGGATTGGACGAGCGGGAGCTTGCTGCTCGGCGTATGCCGAATATGTGGAGCCGCCTTAACGTTTGCGCGTAAAAACCAATTTTACTCTCGTCCGTCTGTAGCAACCGTCGTAGTACAGTAAAACTTGCTCAAAAAGGAATCTCAAGGGACTAGAATGTTTTTCGTATTAGACAAGATTCCGCATTATGTAATGTATAACTGTACAATTTATATTTGGCAGGACGACGATTCACGTTCACATTAGACAGATTTCCGCATTACACACGTTCCGCATTGAGCATTTTTTACGTATAATGAATGTTGAAATATAATGCTACACACAATCGATTTCATGATTTTGTCAGAAATACATGTTTTGTGGGTCTCTGATACCCTCGACAGTCAGACCGTGAGTTCTTTGGTCAGTCTGTGACTGGATTTCGAATATTTTATTTCAAACGAATAGGGCATTTGAAACGAATCTTTAAAAAATGTGTTCGAGATTCTTATCATGTCACTTAAAATTTAAATTCTTAAAAATTATTGGGAAATATTTTTTTACGGTAACTTCCATTATTCTTGCCCACGGTAGTGATACTACGCTATTTGTGGTTCACCACGTAGCGAAAAGTAAGACGTGAATACGTGATTGACGATAAAACATCTACTATTAAGAGTGTCTACATCTGACGCTATGGTAATTGCGTAAAATACTGCTCGTAAACCGCATGAATCAATTGTATCATATATCAACCGCATGTATCATGTAAAAATCATTCACTGAAAATGTCCATAGTAATTTGGATGAAACGATTATATTTTTACGATCATGTAGGTTTGCAGGTCCCTAGAATCTACATGCTCAGATTTCTAGCAACCATTCTCTAAATCGTATTCATGAGTGTATCTCATTCATGAGTCTGACAATGCAACATTGTAGTATTCGGAGAAAATCGACCTACGCGACTTTTGTTATGTTTCTAGAAACTATTGTTCCTCGCTTCTTAATTCACTTCCAAGTACTTTTATGAATGAAAACGAGAAGAAATATCTCGAGAGCTTCCTCTCCTGGAGTGTCGTCGTATCGTAACCGTGTTATTCGGCGTGGCGCCATATGGCAGAGCCTTCTGAGAGAGACAGAGAAACGCCTGCTTCAAATAAATCTAACCCCCCTACATCCACCGCCCACACCGTTTGAAATCCTCCAACGGTAAGGGTAGCAGAAACAGACGAACGTAGAAAATTCTCTCTCACGTAAAATTTGGGGTGAAGACGCTTCATTGGTATATGCTATTTAAAACTATTTAAAAAATAAAAAGACAAATAACGACTTAAATGAGTTCCTTGCTCATTTCTCAGCACAAGGCGGGGAGGCATACACGCTTTAATGTCTTACTCCTGTCCTGAGCACGAACCACATAACACGACTAAAGAAAGATCGCATGGGATATTGATATTTCCGGACACTCAAATGGCCACACTCATTAGCCCGTTAGCGTGGTGAATGTTTCGTTCTGGGATGTAGCGGGGTTCCTCCCCTGCTGAATGGTGAGATTTGGCGCGGCCAACATGTCGGCTGTTTCTCGCCAGCGGATCGCCGCCCCAGAACAAGCTCCAAGTTACCTAATGGACTCATCACATGCATGATAGTGTAGTTCGTAAAAGTGCAGTAAGAGAATGGGAGTAAGGACAGTTGATAGGACAAAGGAAGAGGAAGGAAAGTTCGCGCGTGGTTCGTGGCCCATTTGTCGGTGTCCCTCCAGCATCCCTACTATCGATTGACCAAATCACGGGAAACTACTCAGCAGAAAGGTCGGCCGCTAGAATTATTCTATAGAGAGCGTTTGAATTCGCCTAGCTCTCGACCCAACGCCGAAAATCCGCCACTGTCGGGATAGCTAGGTCCTCCTGTCTGAACAGTTGCGAAGTTGCTGAAGTGACAACGCTAATGCTGGCTCTGAACTAACTCGGCTGTTTTATTGATGATAGGCGATAAGGTTATGGATAGAATGTTATTTAAACGAGCAACGTGAGAAAAAGCCAACCACACCACAACCATGCCTAACAGAGTCCCAAATCAGTTGTTTTTAGTTCCGCATTCACAGGCATTGTTGCGTGCCTGGCGCCACCCAGGACAACTTAAGGCAACCATTATGCATCGAAAAACTACTTAAGCAGGTGATAGGAAAACATCCTCCTGCTCAGTGAATTTAATGAAATAAAGAAACGTATGCTGATCTCGTGAAAACGAATAAAAATTCGTGCATAGCTCTCATGCATGTTTGCTATGTTTGACAGGTTTGAGACCGTTATTAACTCATGAATAATAATGTTAGACGTGTTAAAAAATATGTGATGGTTTGTTATTGTGTCTCACGCAATAGCTTACAGATGATAATTGGCCGACCGGGATAAGCCGCGTCACAGTCGGTCGAGCTGACGTTACGTTACGGTCATCATATTGAGTCTTTCTTTAGAGCTATACTGCTGAAGAAGAGCCTAACATGAAGGCCGAAACGTCAGCTCGACCAACTGACACGCAGCTCAGCACCGGACAGCCAAGTATCAAATGATTACAGTTGCTGAATCCAGCGAATCCAACTTACAGATGAATCGTACTGGGCGGAATGGCACAATTCTTCATTTAAGTCATAGGCTTCCGCCGCCAGAGTCATGTGAATGATCTTGACTGTCCGGGTGACGCTGCGTCGTTGGCAACACAGCCTTCGACGCGGCATCACCCGGACAGCCAAGATCATGCATAATTCTTCATTGACTTGAATGGTTGCCGCACGAACCTGATTCTCGCAAAAGCTCCTATACACATAGATAATTTTCTGATAATTTTAGAGATACTACTATTAAATCTAGTGGTGCACAGTTAGTTTGCTAATAATATAATTGAAATAATATTATAAATTAGTAAAAAGGTGGTCCTATATGTAAATTATCCTTGAAATATTTCGAGATGCTTTTAATAAAATGTAATTTTACTGTATTAATCTTTGCATACTCTTCTCTACAGAAGATATTCGAAGGAATATCGGTATCGGGTCGGCCAGCTCAAAAGACTTGAATCCATAGTTGAAAGTCCTTGTTGCCTAGACTTTCAGCTTTAATATGTTGATGCAATATACGTAATGTATACCCTCCTTAAAAAGTATCATATCGAAGAGTAATCAATTTTGCAAAGATAATATTTTCACAAGAGAGAACGAAAGAAAATAAAAGCGCCCTAATTTCGATGCACCAAGTTATTGGCATGAATGTGTATCTTCGAAATTTCTAAGAACAACATCTGAACGCCAAGCATTAAGAGTCGTCTACTTCTTAATCATAATTATGAAATATGTAAATTATATAAAGCTAATAATAAATAAATTTATATAATATTTATTATAAATTAAAGTTATATACTACATAGTATGAAGTAAATTTTCAGACTTTCAGATTTCAGTAAATGTTCAGAAACAAAGTAATATCTTAGGTTCAGTTAAGAATCATTTCGCGCAAGAGTCGCACTTTTTATACTATGTTCATTTTATAAACAAAATTTAGATCAAGTACAGTAGTAAATTAGGAAATTAATTGCCTACGGTGGAATACGATCCTTGAGAAGATTCCCTTCTTACATTTTTCGCGACAGGAAGCAACGCATCGGTTGGCCTCTTTAAGAGCGCGCAGCCCTCGCCGAAAGAGGACGCGGAGGTGTATTCTGCATTTCGCATTTTCCAGGTTGCGGCACACGGCTACAGTGGCGCGATCTTTTTTCTCAAACTGAAATTAAATTAGGTGGAGCGTCACAAACCTTTTCGAAGAGTCCGCATAGCAGTGCGCAGAATGGCGGCTACAAGAGCCCCGTCATACGACTGCACCTGTGTGGTCTCTCGCTGTGCGGGTATTACAAGTTTTCGATATCGCTGCTCGGTTTAAAAAAGCTTTTCCTGTGAACTTTTCGTGAAGTTTTCATTCCATTTTCATAAACCCTTCTTCCTTTTGAAGAAACATTTTGATTTCATTTATTTTTTATCAGTATATGATTCTCTTTCTGAATTTCTTCCTTCTTCATCAATCAGTGAATGTGTCGTGTCTGTATTCCTTCATCAACCATCTTCCGTCTTTCGTCAATTGTAATTTCGTAAATCGTCTTTCGTAAATAGGTGTCTTGGTTTATTCTTGATAGATTCCATGATTTCTTATTCATTTCTTTAATTCCTGCTTCCAATATTCCTAATTTGGATTATATTCTTTTCATTTTTGCTCACATTATAACAATACGCGCATGTAAATGCGAGAAATCAAGCTCCGAACTGAATTACATTAATATTTCTTAATAAAGTCAAAAGTAGTATATGTGCTATTGCGT